TATATATATATATATATATGTGGACGTCAGTGCTACTAGATGAATCGTGTAGAATGTCATAATAGTGCCCAGTAGATGGCGCCACGAGTGCTTCCGCGACTTAAATAACGTTTGTTGTATTCGATGTATGCAAGAGCTTCCTACCACGCCGTCGTGTGGGCGCGAGCGAGCAGACGGAGGAGGAGGAGGAGGTGGTGAGCGCGACGGCAGGTTGTAATGTTGTTCACACTCTCTGCACGCCGCTCACCGCCCCAGAACGCTTTGTTAGAACATGTACGTGTGAGTGTACGTGCAAATATATAAGCATCATCACGTTCCATTTGCAACAGCTCTCTCGACTCGTTTCGTGTTCCGTGGCGAGCTTAAGGGGATGACGAAAGTGGCGAAAGGTTTGAGGATTAAGGGGACGATGGTTTTGTCCAGTACAGTCCTGACAAGACGAGGCAAAAACAAGTAACAGACAAAAAAGGGAATTTTTGCCGGTAAAACATTTCTGCTTATATTCTTCGACAGCTAAAATCGTGACGCCCAGCGAGACAAACATATAAGAATTTTCTATTCCACAATCGCTTCTGCCTGGCAGTTTTTACAAGTTGCCAAGCGACTTGCTAGTGCATCGTACGTCCGCCACGATGAAGATTGGACGTTAGACATCTCGTAAATATATGTAATAAACAACGCAAACACGTTAGATCGACACCGAGCGTCGTTAACAAATAGATGAATCACAACGAAAACAGAATTGGATGCTGACTAGCGCGGAGTTTATCACAGATCTCCAATTCTTCGGACACGAATAAAAACTGGGTCGATTACGCGAAAGACGGTCACGATAATTAACTAACAGTATAAGACGTACAAGATAATTAATTAGTTAATTAATTATCTTGTACGTCTGTTAGTTAATTAACTTGTCTTAATAGATAACTAATTAAGATAAAATTGTGTAGATGATTAACTAGTGCTGCCACGTTGTTACGTTTGCTCGGTGGGTTTCGGTACTACTCCGCCTCCCTCTATGTGCAGCTTCTCTGCAATCGGCTTCATTCTAGCAAACTCGCATTGAATCATGTCTGTGATCAGTTTCCGCTGTTCCATCTGTGAGTAGAAAGAAAGAAAACATTTTACAGCCTGCAGAAACTTGTATATATATATATATATCAGGGTTCTCCAAGAGAACTTATAGCCTGGCAATCCGCCAGCTAAAATACACCCGCCACTCTAAATATCATAGCTGCCATGCTAAATATCATAGCCCCGGACCCCCCTAGCACGCAAACCGCCTTTGGCGATTTGCAACTAGGACCGTAAAGGCAGCACCGCCACCATGCTATAATGAAAAAGCTTGGAGAACCCTGTATATATATCAAGAGTACATAATGGGAGAAGACTATGACACCGTTTCAACAGTGTTTTGCGTAGTTTTCAAGGCTTTAGGGGATATTAGGCATCGATTGTATACAGCGTGTATTGCGTTTCAGCGTGCTAAAAATAAATGTGTGCTGCACGGGCGAGCTAGCAGCTGATTTTGAGCTGTGTTGCCATCGTGTTCCTGATGATAAAGAAGTGAAACAAGTGCTGTTACTGTGCTTACCTAATATCCCCAACAGCCCCCAGCGTTCCGTCAGAGACAATACAATAGAACACTAATCCGATACCAAAGATTGGCCGCGAGATGCAAAAGTTTGGGAAAACTGTGTGAACCGTGTCGTATTCAAAGAACTTTTTTGAAAGAACACTTACGATTTTCAGGTAAACTGGTGGTGTCATATGATTAAGGGAGAATCATAGACGAAAACAAGGTAAGGTTTGGATATATTTATCCACATATTAATAAGAATAAATTCAAGTTATATATAAATTCTAAAAACTACCCAAATGCTGTTAAAACGGTGTCATACTCTTCTCCCATTTGTACTCTTGATATATATATATATATATATATATATATATATACAGGGATGAGATTCTTCCGCCGATCCGCGGAAATCCACGGATTTGAAAGTCCCAGGGTCGATTTTGTGAAACGTCTAAATTCGTTGAGAAAATTGGAGGGGGTAACAATGTAACAATTTAAAATTATTACCCTCAAACAGCACCTGACTGTAGACTGTAGAGTGTAGACAGTAGGCTGACAGCGAAGTATACAGTGTATCTGTTTTTGCGTGCCAGAAAAGAAAATCCTCGTTCACAGGCTGCAGTAGAGGGGCAGACATTTGAGGTAGCTGATCACGTAAAACCATGCCTGGCCTGGGGGGGGTTTACATGTTGCTGCGTGCATGTTGTGTGCATGACTATGCACTGATTGTTCCATTCGCATTGTGTTTTTTTCATTCAAATCTGGTCGCAGCAAGGCAGCTTATGTCTGAGTAAAACAATGCAAGCGACGGGTGAAACAGAAAAATATCATCAGCCCCCTGATTTCCTATTATAGTTCGTTTGTTCTTTTGACAACTTGAAAAGGTGATTCAAGAGTCTCCTATAATTTGTTCAGAATAGCTTAGAATGCACCAAATTGCACCATTCTTTTAAAAAAATTGGGGGGAACATGCCCCCGGACCACCCTAGCATGGCGATGCCCTACGGTCCTCGCATTGCTCGCTCCTCTGTTTGCTAATTAAAATTTCAGCTGAAAATTAAATTATCCAATCTCATCCCTGTAATATAGTCTTTACCGATATATACCATATACAACGACATATGGAACGATATATACCAGCTTGCAGAAGACGTTTGATTGCAGCGACATTCCACTGCCAATGCACGTGCATTTCAGAACCAGCTTGTTGAGTCTCGGAGCTGTATCATTTCTGATGAGCGCTAGTTAATCATCTAGACAATTTTATCTTAATTAATTAATCTAATAAGTAGTGATGTCACGATCATCGATTATACTCGATCATCGTTGAACAGTGGTCGAACCAAGCGCTTGGTTATCAAAATCGATAATCGATTTTTTTTTTTTTTTTTAACTTGAACAAGAAAACTTGGAAAAGTGATGAGAATCAGAGATATCATCGCTACTATACAAGTTATCCTTTATTAACATACATGTATTATACCACACAGCAGTAAACAGTGCAAAACAAACAGTAAACAAGGCTAAACAATCAACATACATGCACACAAACGTACATGCACACGACGTTACGCACCTACGAAGGCATTCCATCAACCCGAGTACCCGATTGTATCGATCATCGTTACTTGGGTCCAACCGAAGATCGATTACGAAATTACAACCGATTGACAACACTACTAATAAGACAAGTTAATTAACTAACAGTACGTAAAACATCTACAAATATACGAAGCTGCACATCTTGCTAGTGCCACCTGGTGCATCAAAACAAGTTCCTAATTGTGACACTAGAGGGCGCGCATCGTGGACCTACTCACCGGACCACCGTTGGGACGTCATCTTCAGACGAACGTCCTCAAAGTCCATCGGGTCCCCGACGTAAAATCGTCACCTTCTGCAACACACGATAAATACGAAACACTTTCTCTAAACCCACACGGCTAATGTCAATAATACTGATGAGGCTTATATTGGTTTAGCGTGGAACAAGAATTTAATACGTGTAAAATGTGTTTGCTCACGCTAAAATTATTTTTGAATATACCGGAATTTTGTTGGTTTCCGTAGGACGTCATCCATGCCTATAAAACAGCAAGTTACAGGTTATTGAACTACGTCACTACGAGTTCTTGTCACCTGCTGCCACCTGGTGACATGCGCAACAACCTTATTCAGCTCGCAGCGAAAGCAGCTAAGAAATTGAAATCGAATTTTATCGAAACCCGTTGACAAGTCCAATATGTTTGGATTTACCTTGCAATTTAAAAATTAGGCTAAGGCTCAAATTGATCGCGAATATGAAATTCATGAACCTTTTGATGACGCGGTAAGACCGGCAGTTCAAGTTGTGTATTGTGACTTCATAGTTGTGATTATTAGTTAT